CAAGAGTGGTTTACTCATATTTTTACACACACACACACACACACACACACCCCTATACCTTGGTTAGGGTTAGGCAGGCAAGAGTGGTTCACTCATTTTTACACACACACACACACACCCCTATCCCTTGGTTAGGGTTAGGCAGGCAAGAGTGGTTTACTCATATTTTTACACACACACACACCCCTATCCCTTGGTTAGGGTTAGGCAGGCAAGAGTGGTTCACTCATTTTTACACACACACACACACACCCCTATCCCTTGGTTAGGGTTAGGCAGGCAAGAGTGGTTTACTCATATTTTTACACACACACACACCCCTATCCCTTGGTTAGGGTTAGGCAGGCAAGAGTGGTTCACTCATTTTTACACACACACACACACACACACCCCTATCCCTTGGTTAGGGTTAGGCAGGCAAGAGTGGTTTACTCATTTTTTTATCCTGACAGCACATATGGATGCAACTGGATAGAAACTAGAAAATTTACTTTCCCTTGCTAAATAGTTTAGTCAGTATGTGCTCAGGAAACAATAAACATTTGTAAGAGAGAATCTATTTAAACAGCCAACCCCGCCCTCAAATAATCTTTACAAATTCTAGAATATTACCCCCTAATTAATTAACAGGATTTTTGCATCAGACTCAGGATCAAATGCTGGCACTTCTAATCAAAGATAAAACCTCTAAGCCTTAGTTTCCCCAGCTGTAAAAAGGGGGTGGTGATACCTCCTCCACTGGGCTGTTGTGAGGCTGTATTACTATTATGCAATATACGGTAAACACTCAATTGATAGGTCTCTTCTTTCATGTGCTTTTCCTACAAGGCCATACTTTATAAAAAATAAGTTCTTCGAAAGTCTTCGCAAAGTGAGGTAAACACAGTGTTAGAGGTCTTGATTAATGAGAACAAATCAGTTCATGAATAAGAAAGCTAACAAAAAATAGGTGAAGAAACCAAGAGGAAGTAATTCCATCCACTACTGGGGGAGGGAGAAATAGGATTGCTTTTTCTAAAACAAGGATAAAATAAGTCATTTATACAAATAGTCCCATAATCAAAATGCCCTTTCAGCAGGACACAACTAGTAATAATTTCCCCAAGAGATCTAAGATAAGTTCTTCCTCAAAATAAATAAAAAAGTAAAATAATCAGAGGCCCCAATCCCTATAATCATACCCTCACAACCTCACCCGATTAAATAAAAAGCTTATAAAATGCAACCCACAGTTCACCTGCTAAATGAAGTCGTCTCCTCACCTGGGACTGCATAATTTAAAAAGCAGTTAAAATACTGCAACTGGAGTGACTCAGAGACACTCAGCACTAACACTAGCAGTGGTGTTAGAAACACCACAAAGACAAAAGAGGGACATAAGTGTTCAAGTAACAGCCAGAACTACATTCAAGAAATTCCTAACCCTTCCCTTTTATCAAATTGGTCATACCTTTTCATTTACACAGCACATGATGGTTTACAAAGCTTTCACTTGGGAATACCTGAGATAAAAGAGAGGTTTGTAGAAGGCAAGTTACTTTCCCAGGGAAGTCAAGCTGTGTGATTCCCTCACTTGTTCCTTTCCAGGGGTTGACAAGAGCTTCTCCCTTCCCTGCTGGTTTACCTAGTCAAACAGGTAATCCCTCAGGAGCAAATGATTCTCATGTACTTGGCAAAACCATTAAGGATGTGTAATGACCATCTCTATGTTTTCAAATTCAATCTCATTCTATTAGAAAGGAAAATATTTAGTGGTCTGAAAGAACAGAACTCTTCAGACATTGCAGAAATCTTTTGCATAGATAAGGACAAGCTGATAGTAAAATTTGGTATGACTGACTGCCTTTGACCTGAGGAACTGGTTTGGTGGCACAGTCAGAAATAATGATTCTTCTGAATAGTAGTCATAAAGTAATTGATCACAGCAGCAATGTAAAATAAAAATCTCTGTTTAAGTATTTTTTACCTGTTAAGTGGTAAAAAAAAATGCAAATAATAAATTCACCGAAAATTAAAATCCATTTTGATTGGGAATAAACTATAAATCTGAGACTCTTCCAGTGTAAGCCCAAATAAATTAGTTTATAGTTCCACTATTTAAGAATATAAAATTCTCTACTTTTTCCAATGGATGATGCATTTATGGATAGTCATGAGACCCTCCCTCAAATTTCACGTGTGATCTGCCTGAAATGGAGCCCATCTTTATTCACAACGTATCTGTTTACAGTAGTATTTCTGATTTTCATCTCCATGGCTTGAAAAGGAACCAACAGATAGTTTTAAAGAGAGCATTAAAATGAGTGACAAAAATAGCATACCATTCTATCCATTCACCTGAAGGTCAGATAATTCAACTTTGTATCTTTGTGTGTAGATAACAAAGCACAGAGCAAGTAAAAACCCCAGGTTTCCATATTGAAAATGTTTACTAATAACCCCAAATCTTAACTACATGAAGCTCTTAAGAAAAACCAAGGAGAAAAAAAGGGATGAACTTATTAGCAACTTTTCCCTGAACTATCAACACACTGAGAAACCAAAATACCTACACATTAAGAACCTCTTGTTTATAGCTGCAGAAATTTTTACTAGTATCTCATCTGTAATTACTAGAGAAAGAGGAAACTGAACACAGATGGTCCATGGTCAACAGGCACATGAAAAGATGCTCCACACAGCTAATCACCAGGGAAATGCAAATCAAAACCACAATGAGGTATCACCTCACACCAATCAGAATGGACACTGTCCAAAAGACAAGAAATAACAAGTGTTGGTGAGGATGTAGAGAAAAGGGAACCCTTCTACACTGTTTGGTGGGAATGTCAATTGGTATAGCCACTGTGGAAATGAGTATGGCGGTTCCTCAAAAGACTAAAAATACAAATACCATATGACCCAGTAATTCCACTTCTAGGAATTTACCCAAAGAAAACAAAATCCCTTCTGCGGAAAGACATATGCACCCCTATGTTTATTGCCGCATTATTTACAATAAACAAGATATAGAGAAGCAACCAAAATGTCTATCAATAGATGAATGGATAAATAAGTGGTACATATACACAATGGAATATTATTCAGCCATAAAAAGAAATCCTGCCACTTGCAACAGCATGGATGGATTTAGAGGGTATTACCCTAAGTGATAATCCAGGCGAAGGAAGAAAAATACCATATGATTTCACTTACTTGTGGAATCTAAAAATGAAACAAATCATGGGATGGAAGTGCAGCTTGGAGAATATAGCCAATGGTTCTCTTAACATCTTTCTATGTTGACAGATTGTAACTGCACTAGTAGGCGTAAGGATTTAATAATACGGGTAGCTGGTGAACCACTGTGTTGTATACTTGAAACCAATATTGCATATCAACTTTATTTCAATAAAAAAAGGAGGAAACTGAATAGTCATAAACAATTCTAAATATGCTGCCTTTCCAACTCAAATTGTCTTTTTTCTAAATTAAGATAACTTACACCTTTCCTCTACTATCTCCAATTTTTTTTCTAGATTTTTTTTTGTTATTGTTGTTCTGTATTTTGTATCAGTAATTCAAATGGTTTAGCATTTGCTACGAACTGAATTGTGTGCATCCCTCATAAATTCATGTTGAAACCACAACCCCCAATGTGACTATCTAGAGATAGAAGTATTTAGAAAGTAATTAAGGTTAAAAAAGTCATAAGGATGGGGCCCAAATCTGTTAGGCCTGTGGCCTTATTAAAAAAGGAGACCGAGAGAGAGATCCCCTACCCCACCTTTCTGCCGTTAAGACACAGTGAGGAAGTGGCTCTCTGCAAGTCTCCAGGAAGTCTCACCAGAACCTGAACAAGCTGGCACCTTGATCTTAGACTTCCCAGACTCCAGAACTGTGAGCAAAAATTAAGCCACCAAGCTGTAGTATTTCTTATGGCAACCCTAACAGATTAATACAGTATTCAAACCAACAAAACAAATCATTAAGAACTTTGACGCTGCCCCAACCTTTTAATGAAATTCTTACAAGAGTTCTCTCCAGATGAACTTATTGTGCTCCTCTTCCAGCACTACTGGTGGGACTAAACCAAAATTAGTTAATTGCTTCCAGGAGGAAGGTAAATAAAATGGGTTTGACCTGCTTAGGAAAAATATGCAAACAACATTTTTTAATCTGGAAAGAAATTTTGAAATAAATAATCAGGCTATAGCTTCTGAACAGGAATGAGAAAATTTGAGAATAGACATCTTTCACCCACAAGTTCCTGAAATTAACTTAAATCTGATTTTGAGATGATTCTCATAATGGCTTTGGGTGAGCCACTTCACCCTTCTGCTACTCAAGTTCACATCTGGTAAGTGAACACAATTGCCTCTTAGTTAGTACTTTAAAGACTTACTGGGTGGAAGATGATGGGTTGATCACTTATTTTTACAGTACATAATGCATCAAATATACTATCTTAGTAATGAAAGAATTTGGGGTAAAATCCCAACCTTATTTTATCATCTCAAAAGATGGTTTATAATAATTAGCATGACCTTATATGTATTTGAGAAACCCAGGGAAGGTTAAAAGGGGTACCAATGAGCAGCCATTTGTAAAGAGCATATACCCACTAATTTAAAAACATTTCTATTAAAAAAAATAAGAACAAGTGGCCTTGGAATCAGCAAAGGAAAGTAGTCTTCCCATTCTTCAATTTATCAACAACCAAACAAACCACTCCCATCATCTGAAATATAATTCTATTGAATTTTATGTTAGATGAATGTAACTAACAAAAAATTCATCTCTAAATCCATCTAACTAAACCACTATTCAAATTCAGTTTTTTACAACTACTCTGAAAGATGTCTATAATTTACTATTAGTTCTTCCTAGCACAGCAAATTTTGCACAAACTAATTTCATCTATACACCAACAAAGTAAAAATATTTTTAAATGTCTTGAATTGCCATTTTTTCTGTAGCTACTTTTCTGAATGATTCATGGGTAATCACTTAAAGGATACACTCTGTCATTGCCGCAACATCCAGTTTATCAATATCAGGTGAACCAGGGCAACACTTCTTAAATTCTTTTCGAAGATCAAAAAAGGAATAGAAGCATTCAGGCAATAACACATTCTGAAGAAGAACAAGGTAGACACCATTAACTATTCAGTTCAATATTTCCCAATTAGGAGCCTAAGAATTTAATTAAGTATATTTTACCACAATTAAAAATGTTTAATTGAATGTAAAAGTGACTTTATTTTCTGTTAATAGCTTTACATCTTATATACAAGTCTCATGGAAAAAATTCATCTTAAGACAATGGATTACAATGTTTGTGGTTCCATTATTTATTCCATTCAAAACTGAAGCCATAATACATTTGGGCTGTTTTCTATTTTCTGGCTGATACAACTACACTCTTTTCCCAGCCATCATGATTTTAGACCATCTTCACTATTAGCTCTCTCTGTTCTCAGATGTATATGTTTACAATGTATACCCAAACATGGAATTCAGTAATAAAACATAATAATTTAAAATTCTGGGTTCTGATAATATGTATTTTCTGTAATAAATCACATTAAGATAGTAAATTCCTGATTACCTGAAAAGCATTATTTTTGTGCCTTCTTATAGACCCATATTAGTTTTCCTGACCAATATTCCAGCTATACACAAGAACTCAAATTAAAGATATCACAAATCTCAAAGGAAAGAAATTGTTACTTATCTTAGATACTGCATCACTCTTGTAGTTATTAAACAAAGCTCAACTATCTGGGCAAATATTACACTACTGTGTTTTTTTTTAATCTGGGTGGAGGGGAACCTCACCAAGTAACATTCAAAGATTAATTTTTTTAAATTGAATTTAGATTTTTCTGAAAATTCCAAACTAGTTTGCATTCACTTACTGGGAATTTCTACCCATTTGTTTATTAGGAAGTCAAGGAAATAGTTTTTAATGTTTGTGACCTGTAACATTTATGTAATAATGTGTCTTTCTATCCCTAGATTCTACTGGATGAGACCTGCTCATTGCTGTATTTGAAAAAGATATCACAGCAGCATGGTCACAACGTTCAAAGTCATTAACCAAAAGAACCACGAATCCTCGAGATAACTACAAAAAATGCTCATTTAAAAGCTGTTATAATGACAATGACTCACACATCCAATAATAAAAATTTAAATAGTTGTATCCATTTAAAATACTGAGTATTTTATTTAGTGCTTACAAAAGATACTTATGTCAAATTATAGAAATAGGCTAAAAGATTTGTATAGTATGAGTGGTCCTTGTAAAAAAATAAGGCGTTTCTACAAAAGTCTGGAATATACTCACACATGTTCATATTAGAGAAAAACACTAATATATTGTTGAGTGAGTGGCAGGATTTATTTTCTTTTTTTACCATTTTCGCTATTTTTTCCTTAATAAATAGAATTACTTTCATTATGATACTAAATTAATTGCTTTAGTTTTTTATCAAAATCCTAATAGAAGTGCCTCAAAAATGTCTCAGTTTGTCTCTGGAGGTTTTTCCACATCCAAAGCAGTCCACCTAAAGTAACAAAACCAGCTGCCAACCCAACAGGGAAAGGATTGTTTTACCCTGCTTCATAAGAGTTTGAAGGGGAATAAAAGTCCTTATAGATATCTCTATTTCTGGATCCAGGATATAGCAACTGGTCTAGCATTTAATGAATTAAAAATGTTCTCCTTATCAAATAATTACCAAGGCTGCTATAAAAGGAGTGATTTTCTCAGCTCTCAAAGTATAAGAACTTCAGTTTCCCCATAACATTTAAAATTGTCATTACACATTTAACTTTTTCTTATTCCCTACTAAACTGGAAGAAAATCTGCACTGAATACTCACTAACATGTAACATCAATGCCTGTTTTCTTGAAATATTTTACTTCCATCTTTTCAAGTTCAGTATCTGCCTACTGCAATAAAAAGTTATAGCTCAAACTAATTAAGTTGTTATGATCAACTATATTAGCAATGATTGGCTATACGGCTGTCCATTTGGCTACATTATAAGCTCCATCTTTCCTAGCTCTTCAGCATTCCTTCCAGGAAGAGAAATCACATTATACAGTAAGATTGTATTTTTCTTACTCCATATTCCTTTCCATATCAGAAAGGTAAGAAAAGGTAAAAGATGGGGCTGATCCTAACGATTTGATACAAGACAATCAGTTTTGAACATTTAAGTCAAAGCACAATGTAATTAATGTTTCACCAGTATATTAAGTCTTACTTGACACAGTGCAATCCTTAGAATTACAATTAAGTAGGTTTAAGTGAACTTTTTTTTAGTTTGACCCTTCCTTTCTGGCATAAAGCATCTTCCACGAAGGTGGGAATATTACAGTATATTAATACTGTTCTCTCCTACCTACTTGTAGCTATTTCAAAATGTCAAAAATTCAGCTAATATGCTTTGGAAAAGGGAGAAAGTCAAGTATCTGAGAAACTTGGCATAAACAAAAAGAGAAACTTTTGAGTCACCAAAGTAGAGTTATAAATTACTTCAATTTCCAACATCTGAGTATCACGAATTTTTTTTGTGGTTAAATATACATACCACACTATTTAACACTTTAAGTGTACAGCTCAGTGACATTAAGTACATTCATTTTGTTGTGTAAGCATCACCATCACCCCTTTGTCTTCTCAAACTGAAATTCTGTACCTCTGAACAGTAATTCTCCATAGGCATCTTTTTAAAACAGAAATTTGGATAAACAGTTTTGAAAAAGTCTTCCAGTCACCAAAGATACAGTCGTTTTTTTGAGAAGCCAGCAGTCTTACCTTCTTGGAAGCCTCAGGATGCAGGATTTGCCTGACATGAAGCTGCCCATCAGTACACAGACAGAAGGAGGTTCCTACCCCAATATTTAGTTCATTGCTCACTGACTGGTTAAACTGAAAAGACAAGACACACACAGGGGTGCAACTGATGGAGGATTTACAAACAGCAGAGAGGCCCTGCTGGGTGATAATCATAGAAAAGCACGCTACCTGCCGCGAACGGGGACACCAGTGCTGGGGCAGTGTAAGAAACCGTTCCCACAAACTGTCTAGATTCCTTTAGATAGAGAAGCTTTCCAATTAACCCGCATTTTATGCAGAGGTGAATTTAGTAACGTGTAGTTTTCTTTCCCTCCCCCCGTCTACTTTTGCGGTAAACTCATTCAAGGCTTTTAAGTCAGGTCTCGTTTCATGAGCAGGTTGCCTTCTGATTACATCATCCCTGGTGTTACTCTTTTTGTTTAGATGTTCCAAGCTTAAGAAAGATGCCAATTTCTGATAAACAAATGTGGGTAATGGGTATAGACCTCTGTAAGGTCTGATAACACGTTTCCTGGAACACAACCCAGAAATAACTTTCTCCTACGATTCGCAATGCGTGTAGGTCAGGCGCTATGAGAGCACCAGACACTCACCTGTGCACGGGGATTTAGCGCTCCGCCCTTATCCCTAATCCACTACCACTGAGCAGCCGGTTTTTTAGGTCAATTCCAGTAAGGGGATTTCTACCAGTTTCGCGGTGACCCAACGAGCTACACGTTCGGGCTTGCAAACCCTCCCTGGCTCTAGGACCAAGGCCACTAAAGAAGTAATAAGGGCACAGGAACCGACCCTTTAGGAGTTCATAAGCCTGAAACCAGGCAGGCACCTCACGTTGCCTCCAAACTGGGGCCGCCTCTAGCACGCGGCGCGGGGCCTGACGGCTCAACACCACAGCGCCCCCTGCCCCAGGGCCGAGCCACAGACCCAAACCCCCGCAGAGGTCAGGCGTGTCTGGGGTCTAGACGGTCCTTGGGGAGGGGGCGCTAGGATTCAAACTATGCTCATCACTCGATTGGTAAAACCTGGCTGTTTATCTGACTCAAGAATGATTTAGGAAGCAACTCGAAGAATAGCCGAATTTTGGCCCAAGACCCTGGGGGCTAGGAGGCAAAGAGGAGCAACCTCCTCCTCCGGAAAGGTTCCCCCGCGCCTGCAAACCAGGTTTCCACCCACGCGACCCGGCGCTTCGCCACCCCGCCCCGGGGACGCACGTGAACAGCCCGCGTAGGATGGGTGGGCTTGCGGGGACACCTGGGCTGCTCGTACGGGGCGGGAGGAACGGCCCAAGGCTGTCACCTGTCGGAGGGCTTGGTCAAGCTGCGGCGCCGAGGGCAGGCTGTCGGCGTCGATCTTAGTTTCTTCTTTACAATCCTCCGTCAGCTCCAACTGATCCGGTCTAACTAGTACTTCGTGCAACTGTCCCACCTCCAGGGGGTAAAGAAGCAGGAGTCAGTTTCCCCCTTGCTCAGTTTGGAAGCCTCTGCCTTCACCCTCCTCCCTCGTTCCCCTGCTGGGGCGACCGCCGCCTCTCGAGGAGTCTGGTCACAGCATCAACGCTCACCGGTCGCGAGCGGTGGCCGAGAGGTCGGCGCAGCCCTGCCCCCGGCCCCACCCCCATCCGGATCAGATCGGAAAGGCCCTGGAAATGGGCACCGAGGCCCGAGGGATCCCACCCCGGCTCCCCGAGGCGTCCCCCGACAGGCAGAGACCCTGGTTCTGCTGCGCCTGCCCCCTCACCTGAGCCAGATTGCGGAGGACTGAAATGGCTCCAAGGTGGTTGGCCAACAAGTTTGGTTTTACTCCGGATCCTCTAGGCCTCGAGTCCAGCCTCACAAGTGGGCAGGCAAGAGCACTTGTTTACCAACTCCCCAAACTTCTACAACAAACTTCTTGTCCCACTGCTATCATTTGGGTCGAAACGTGGAGAAATACCTTTTCATTGGCCAGATCCACGACTTTCCATAACAGCAGAATCAGCTCCTTCTCATCCGAGCCCAGCTTGGCCCCGGTGGCCCCAGCAGTGATCCCAAAAAGCACCACCAAGTAATCGGGAGACGCCGTCATGATGATAGGTGGGGAGGGGGAGAAGGGGGGTCAGGAGGCGGCGAGGTGGGGTGTAAGCGAGAACAAGAAAACCTGTGCTAAACCCTCTTCTAAGAGAAAAAGAAAGAGCGCCCACCTCCCCCTCCTCGCCGCCGATGGTGCAAAAGGCGGTAACCAACCAACCCAAGCCTACACCTGGCCCGTGCTCCACACCCTGGGCAGGAAAGGGGGTGGGAAAGAGGGCGCAGGAGGCCTGCCCTTTTTGAATTCAATTGCCCGTGCGTCTATGCAAAAAGCCAGGAACAGGGCTGCACCCCCCCGGAGGCGCGCGCAATGGCTGAAAGCTTTTCTGTTTTGGGATGTGGCTCTACCTGCCCGCCCCCTTCCCCTCCCCCACGTGGTGCAGGTAAGAGACACCTGGCGGCGCGGGCCCATTGGCTCCTTCAAACCACGACGTGGCACGGTGGGGGAGGAGGCCTCTTGGGGAAAGGGGAGGAGGGGGCAGAAGACAATGGCTGGATGAATGGAGAGGGGAGGGAGAGAAAGGAGGAGGGGGAGACGCTAGGGGCGGGGAGGAGGCGGTTGCCACCCAGAGGGTAGCCAAGGCCAGACGGGAAAAGGGTGAGGGGTATAGGGAGTGGTGGCGCGGGATGGAGTAGCTTGGAGTGGGGGTGGTGTATACACCCCGTTGGACGTAACCGAGAAGTGGGGTGGGGGGCTTGGAGAAATGCCGGCCGTCGGGAACGAAGCCGGAGGTTCTTAAGGGTCAAGCGAAAAGGCCTGGCGCTGGGAGGCGAAAGGAGGCCAGAGGTGAGGCCCGCGGTGCGGAGCTGCCCAGGGCGCGGCGCCCCAAGAGGGCAAACCGCGGAGGGAGGGACCAGTCAACGGCAGACGGGAGGTGGCAGGGGCAATTGCCAAGCACAGGAAAAGCCGCTCCCGAGCTCTACCCACCTTTAAGTGCAAACAGCGGGCGAAACCCTGAGCGACCTCCCCCTCTCGGGGCCCGAGCCCGGCTCTCGCTCCTCCAACACCCCCAGACAGTGCCCACCTCCTGTAGTGAACCTCCGCGGGCGGCAGAGCCAGACACCCAGCCAACTAAGTTACGTCCAAAGATTCAACTGCCGCGCGCAAAGCAGAAGGGGATCCCGGTGAGGAAATTTAGGCACAGTGGACCCCACTCCCTTTCCTCCTGACTACTCCCTTAATTGCTACGACTTGTTTGGCCCTGGCTGCTAGTTTGAGATTAGAATCTCCTCTACGGAGGGGGCCCACTTCCTTTGATTTACCCTGGGCCCGAAATAAAACGGGTCCACACCGCGCGTACTTAAGGTTTTCCTAAATCAGGACAAAGCTATGCTTTTTCCTCAGTTCCCTACTCTGACCCCACACCCCCTACTCGTACCTTTGCTTTTGTACTTCTGTGTCGATTTGGCCAAGTTCCCGAGCAGTGTCTTAACACTAGGTCTGCAAAGAGGCTTGTGCGCCCTCCATCCCCGCCATCCCACCCCACCCCCAGCCACCAAGTTGGACGGCAATGTGGTGGGTCCTGTTGACATTTTAAAGAGAAAAGCGCCAGGGGTGAAGTTTTCTCGGGTTTTATATTTCAAACCGATCTATTCTTGAGAACAGAATTCTCTCTTAAGTATTACTGATTCAGCCCCAGGTGTCCAGCCCTTTATATTATGTGAACTCAGGCCACTATACACCTATCCACTACTGTTACCCACTGCGAATGCAAATTCGAGAACCTTACAGGATGCAAGTCTGGGGAAGCTGGAGATTGCGCTTTCCCGACCTGGAGGAAGGCTAGACGGAGAAGAGAGGAGGCTGAAGCTAAGGGAAGGTTGTCGGGGAGAGGGCTCGACGAGCCCAACGCCGGCGCAGCGGTGTTTCCTGGCAGGAGAGGGTGCGGGCGGAGGCCAGGCCCTGCCGGGGGCAGGCGGCGCTTCAAGGGCCCACGAGGGTTCTCGGTACCACCCTCGTCCGCAGCTCGAGTTTCTGCAGCCGGAGCTTTCCGCTCCCGGACTTAAAGGTGCGGGGTCGGAAGAGCAAATCGGCAGTCCTCGGCTGGCACTGTGCGACAGCCTCGCGTAGCCCCAGTCCTCACATCTCCCAGCCATGCACTCGGGGCCGCAGGCGCCGCGGGGGCAGGGGCCGGGCGCGGAACGGGTCAGGGAGGGACCTGGAAAAGCCACCCAGACTGCATTGCAGTGGGCGAGGCCGCCGGAGGAACCAGTTCGCCTGAGCCTCCAAGCCGCGGGGCTTTCTCCATGCGCGGTTCCCAGGTGCTCGGCCTGCCTGGGACGGGCGGAGTTGCTCGCCGCGGCGCGTGAGTTCGTGCGTGGCTCCGGCCTGGGGACGCGAACGAGTGCAGCGGCGCCCGGAGGTCCATAGCCGGGCTGCTGAGAAAGTGGCTAGAACAGCTCAGAAAGCCCTACCCGCGGGTTCTTGCTGGCCTCTCCTCTTTGGATTAATCATTTATATAGCGTGATTGTACAAACTGAGACCTGTACCCTCAGCGCTATTTGGATTCCGCAGCTTTGTCCGTATTAGAAGCTAATCTCGAGAGTTGCCCCTTTTCACAGAAATTTGCCTTCTTTCTGTTCAAGAAAGTTGGATTCTTGGTTTCTGATTTTCTTAATTTAAGTTTTGTCCAACTAGGTTACAGGGACAGAGACTTTGTTGTTCTGTAAATGTATTCCCAGGGCTTGGAACAGAGCCGGACATACACTAGGTATTCAACAAATATTTGTTGAAAGATTTTAATGAGTAACTCCCACCCATTTTTGCAGCTCTTTTGTTTCCTAGCTAGGGCATAGTTCATTACTGCGAAGGTGAAATTATGAAAATGGAAGTCTACCGTTAATTTAAGTCTCATGATTAAAAGAACAGACAAACCTGCTTCCACAGACAAACCTACTTATGTTTAAAAAATTAAACTCTGGTAAAATGCAGGAATGCAGAGAAAAATGTAGATAAAAAGGAATTGTGTACAACTTACTCTTAAGCTATTCTGACTATATACACCTATTGAGAGAGAAAATGATAAAGCAAATGTGCTAAAACGTTAACATTGGGGAATCTGAGTGAAACAATTCTTTATATTATTCTTTACAACTTTTAAACATTTTTTAAAACGCATCAGAAGACTTTTTGCTCCCAGCAACATTTGATGTCAACAGGACTGTCTTGTGACTTCCTGTGCTAACTCGTTCACACTGTAGAATGAATATTTTCTTTTGGATTTTCCTTAGTGAAAGGAGAGTAACAAGGCCACCATTTTCTGTACAACAATCCTTGTATATCCTTTAAGGTTGTTCTTAACTTTCCTAGACTAAATTACTACAAGCTCTTTAAAGCTTTCATTGTGAATGTTACTTCCCTGCTCTTTAATTATCTTCATTAACCTCATTGGACCCTTTTCCTCTTCCCACTTTTAGAGAGCTGCACTTTAGCTGGACAAAATTCAGATGTATCTGCTATGGCCTAACCATTGACACAGTAGTATCTATGTATAATGTTCTTTTAACCTGTAATGCAGTTTCTTTCCCTTTTGCAGACTACAGTAGAAGCACTGTCTTTGCTGGCTCTAGTTTTATTTGCAATCTCTGGATCTTCTTCGGAGTTGTCCATTGCACATACCTAGTTGTTTCTATTGTACCTAAGTTAAAGACCCTTCAAAAGTGAATCAAAGTATGGAATGTTGTGGAATTAGATAGTGGGGATGGTTGCATGAACATGTGATTATACTAAAAACCACCGAGTTATTTACCTTAAAAGGGTCAATATTACATGAATTATATCGCAGTTTTAAAAAAAAATCAAAAGTAAGAAACTGTGTTCTGTGGCTACCACAAGCCATGGATGTTTATTCTTAGTTATTTGTATTAGATGCAGTTGTAAAAGAGATCACATTTTATATTCCCTAAACAAGTCCAGCCTCTCTGAAGTGGAGAGGTCAGGGGCAAGTGATGGTAAAGATAACCAAATCCATATAATTTTCCATGAATTACTCCATGCATCACATATTTAAACAAATTACTGGTCTGAACCTTTACTATAGCAATTATTATAGATGATCTGTGTGGAAAAAAGTACAGGTTTACTAATCAGCCCTGCCATTTGCTACCTTGTGGCCTTGGGCATATTCTTTAGGCTCACAAAGACTGTGTCTACTTGTAAAAATGGGGATGGTGATAATGTATGCTACATAGGTTTGAAGGTGAATGGGAATGTGTAAGGGTCTTCCTTCTTCCTTAAAACCTGAGAACCAGGAAGGTTACTACCCAAGAGGAATCTCCAGGTGGGGAGGGGTCTCTCCAGACAACCAATCACAAAGGTTGTTAACCTTCTGACCTTAGCTTAAACTAAAGACAGACTATAACATTTAAACAAGACTTGACTGACTGCCATGCCATAGAGAAATAGTGCAGAAAAATTATATATAGGGAAATGCACCATAAATCTGGGTGAGATACACCTTCCCCTTGGGGACCACAGAACTGATCCATTTAACTGAGCATCCAGGGAAATGATGCCACCCTGGGGAATTCCTCCCTGCTTACTTCTGGCGTCATTCCCTTTGCTCAGGTACATCCTGCCTCTCCCAAAATCCAGTAAGAGGGAAGCACAGCAGCAAACCTTTATCTTTAAAGTTAAGGTGGGTTGTTAGGAGTGGCGGTTAAAGGATTCTAGGAAGGAAAAGTTTTCTCTTACTTCCTAAGTTTCTTTGCTTCTCTTAGTATGCCTACACATCCATCCTTTTGGCTAACAAAGGGCCACATTTGTTATTCTGGCAAAAATGTAAATCACTTCCAAAAGTAGAAATTGTTGTTGTCCTGCTTTATATCTGTTTGAAATATTTAAAATGTTATTAAGTTGAATGGTGTACTTGGTGGAAACTGCCATTGGAGACACTGAAGATAATTTTTATGATGGGTCTATATCCCTTTCATTTGCATGTCAGTATATTCTCACAGATTTCTAGTGACTTTACAAAAGTCTATACAGAATGTCAGACCTGAGAAATACATTTAGTCATTTATTTAACACATGTTTGTTGGCACCTTAGTATGCTCCAGGCAAGAAAAGTATTAGGCACTGGAAACACAAGAGTCCATAAACTCATACACAGTTCTTGCCCTTAGAGAGTGGGGGACAAAAATCCTAAAAATGTATCATTACAGTGATAGTGTTCTAAAGTACACAGTGCTCTGGGATTACATAACAAAGGGACATAAATACCACCAAGGAGACCAGAAAGGATTCAATGAGCCATAGTATTTGAATTAAAATTCACAAGGAGAGGTGAAATAAGCAAAGAGGTAGGTGCAGGTAAGGAAGAGGGAGAGTCTTCTTTGTGGTGGATTGGGCACAAGGCAATGGAAATAACTGAAGAAAGGGTCCCAAGATGGAAGATGCTTGAGGAGGAGAAGGTGGCCCCTCTGAAATCACCCTTGACATCCCCCTATGTCCAAGTCCTTTGGAGTTTTCTCCAGTGACAGCACACTTGGATCACTTTCCTGCCATTCTTCATTAGGACCCCTGTAAGGCCAGAACTGCAGACTCTTTCCACTGTCCTCCAGTCTATGCACTAACCTTTCCTACTCATCCAGTGGTTTCTAAGAACTCTGGATTTCAGAGATCTTTTAAATTAAACAAAAAGGAAGGAAAAGCAACTACCACAGAAAATATTTCAGTTATTAATTTTGCTAAGAAGCATTTTTCAAGACGAGACAAAACCGATGACTATTGTCCCCTTCGTTTCATAAAAGAAAGACCATTTTAACACCAAAAGAAAAGATAGACTAATCTCAGAATAAAGGACAATTTTTATATTATATGAATCAGCTAATGAAACATTTTCAAAAAAATATTTCTTTTTTGTCTCAACCTGACACTGGAAAAAATCATACACCAGGGGTTGGGGAGTCACCACTTTGATCCCGTCTGAAAATTATCAACAAGTTGATTTTCCTAAAACTGACTTGTGTTTTTTAAATTAATATATATTTAAGTCAAAATAACATGAGTATATCATTTTATAAGTCCAATAGTTCTACATGGTTTGTAATAAAAAACTGCAGTCACCTGTCTCCTATCTACACTGATTCCTGCTTCCCAGAGGCAGCTACTATCCACTTGCAGCTATTTCTCTGTCCTTATAGTTACCTCATTTGTAAATAATATTCACTTACTAATATTGAAAATTATTTTTTAGTCTAAAAACCTACTTCAGTTTTGTTGCTTTTTGAATTAGAGCTATGGAATTAGATACATATTCTTTGGCTTAAATCTCATATCCATCTGTGATGCTTCCCAGAGTCAAGCCCTTAGTGATTACCACTATAGACCAAATACTTAAAAATGCTGCCCTGTCTTATTTATTCCATGTAGGCAATGACTTCTCTTAGAATTCCAGGCTCTCTCAATTCACTTTCTGTATGGGTCCTTGCACTCCCTTTGTGAAATTCTTCTCCTTATGTGCACTTTAGCAACCAGTACAACTTGCTCATGCTTAGAACTTGGGAAAGGGTTTTGGTGAGGGTACCCATCAATTATGCTGGCCTTGGAGGGAAGAATAAGCACTTTTGAAATAGAAGAACTGCTTTCAGTAATAGGATACCCCCTTCTTATCCAATCTGCTTTAGCTAGTAAATATCTGATTTTAATCAGAATCCATTTCTGCAAACAATATTTTGAAGATCATCATTCCAGAAGGCAACATAATTAACTCCCTTTGAGGAGTGGGCCCATGGAGTTGATGGGAAGAGAGCAGAAAGGACATCTTTCTTGCTATTCACAAACAACAACAATAAGATAGCTTTTATTTATTGAATTGACACTGTATACCAAGCAACATTCAAAATGTTTACAAGCATTATCTCATTTAATTCTCACAACAACCAAATGAGGTAAAATTACAATTTTTTATCGCCCACCTTACAACTGAGAAAAACCAGAGGTTTGGTGAAAATTACTTGGGTGGCACTGACCGAGCTGGGATTCCTACCTAGGGAGTCTGACTCCAGAGACTGCATTTAGCCATACACTATACTGAACATGAACTACTTTTTTTTTTTTTAGCTCAAAAAGTTTCTATTTATTAAATAACTAAATTTGGACAGCATACAATAATTTTACATACATGATTTCATCAGGATGTCACAATAACCAAGTCATTGCCCTCATTTTTTTTTTTGAGAGGGCATCTCTCCTATTTATTGATCAAATGGTTGTTAACAACAATAAAATTCTGTATAGGGGACTCAATGCACAATCATTAATCAACCCCAAGCCTAATTCTCAACAGTCTCCAATCTTCTNATATTCATTTGATTTTTGTACTTGATTTATATGTTGATCCCACATTTCTCCTATTATTATTATTATTTTTATTTTTAATAAAATGCTGAAGTGGTAGGTAGATGCAAGATAAAGGTAGAAAACATAGTTTAGTGCTGTAAGAAGGCAAATGTAGATGATCAGATGATCAGGTGTGTGCCTATGGACTAAGTATTAATCCAGGCTAGACAAGGGCAGCAAGACATCCACGGATGCAGAAGATTTCTCTCAAAGCAGGGGGGGTGAGGTTCTGAGCCTCACCTCTGTTGATCCCCAATTTCTCACCTGATGGCCCCCCTGCGACTGTGCCTGTCTTAGGTTGTTCCTCCCTTGAGGAATCTTACCCGTCTCTGGCTAACCAGTCATCTTCCGGGGCCATACAGGGAAATGTAAAGTTGGTAAGTGAGAGAGAAGCAATATTCTTTGAAAAGGTTAGCTTTTTACTTCTTTGCAGATTTATGCCCTGTGGCTTCTATGCCCAGCATTTGTCTTGAGGTATCTTTACCACTTGGAAGAATTATGATACTCAGTAATTTTCGATATGAGGCATGAATTCTACTAAAGGGTTGTAATTAGGAAGGAAGAAGAAAAGCTATAGAAGTAGCAGATGGAAGAAAACATGCAAAGATTGATTATTTCTTTGACATAACTTCTTGTAGAGTAACATAAGCATGTATAGGTTTTAACAAACTACTAATTAAATTGCGTACACACATTAACAGAATAGGAATACAGATACATAACAAAAGCAGACCTACAATTACCAGCCATATCCAGTGAAACCAAGAAAACCAGTTAGGTACCCTAAGCATTTATGGAAACATCAATAATATGATGGATATTGTCTAACTGAATTTGAATAGTTTGAGAAAAATCAGACAAAATAACACATTCCTGGGAACTGTTCACATCCCATATGTTCTTTTAACAGTAAATAGTCTATAGTCGCACGATTTGGGGGCACTGCAACTTGCACTTCTCCTAATTCTTGGTTGAGTTCCGACAATATAGATCCAGTCAAATTTGTTGTTTTACTGTATGCACAGGCCAGCTTAGATATCTCCTTCTTCATTCCAATGGCAAGTCCAGGAACCGGTGGGATGAATGCAGCTGCAACTGCAACAGCGCCAGGATCTTTGTTGAAGTTTTTTCATGATCATCTTCTGTAATGACTCTACCAGAGGATGTTTGTTGGAAGTTCTTCTTCATATCGTATCTTACTTCGTTTTCTGGGTAGAACATGAACTACTTTTATACTTTAGAAATCTTATTAATAAATTAAGCAGACTGTCATAATCTCCCTTTGAGACCTGGGCTACAGCACATACACATAACTCATGCTAAGCCATAAAAGCAGAGCTAAAGTAAGCTAATCTAATATTTAGTAATATCACATCTTACATTTTAAGAAGTATCCTGCATTTTACACTTCAGTTTCTTTACAAGATAACCAAGAATTATTAAATATTCTGGAGAGCCATTAAAGAAATAGTATTCTACAGTAGTTATACATACCATGGTAGTTAGAGTAAGCATTAAATACATCATCAAAGCTTATTTTCATATTTGAAAGACACTTTTGTAAGTTTTATCCCAACTCCTCCCTTTAACAAGAGGTCAAAGATGTTAAATGACTTGCTTAACCAAGGTAACACAGCTAATTAGTGGCAGCTGTGCTCAGGTCTCCTGGCTCCCAACACAGTGCTCTTTCCATGTTGTGTCCATGACTACCCAGAAACTGTGCTCCCTCTGAGAATATGATAGACTTTCTAGATGGACTCAGAGATTTCTGCATAGTTGGTTTTGGTTAATATTACCTCCCTTGTCAAGGTTTTGGTAGGAAAAAGCCAACTTGGTTGAAAAATCTTCATTGTAGTTTAAAGGACAGAAAGAGGACTTGGATGTCTACCCCTGAGGATAACATACCTTTTCTTGCTATCCTGGAGACATTCTGGAGCTACTGCCTGACATGTTTAGAATTTAGAAGAGTCTTAATGGAGGGCAAGCAGCATGTGGGATGGAATTTGAGCCATTGTTTTTTAAAAACTAAAGAAATTTTAATGGGTGCATTCTTTTAATTTTGGCAAGTCTCTCTGTAGAAGATGCAGATACACAGGACATGATCTCTGCAGATAAGGAGCTTGAAATCTGATAAAAGAGGGAAAGCTTAAGAGTGTGATGTGGACCCTTTATGAACATGGCCTGGTCCAAAGCAAGCATAAAAAGGATGCTGCAGCCGATGATCTGTTCAGGAATGCTTTCCTGAACCTCTGGGGCATGAGTATCGCTAACCCATTTTCTACCCTCACTTTGTTACTTCTTCCAACTTGCACCTATTTTATCAGCTCTCCATCTTCTTTATTGGACACTCAGGCTTCAACTACATTCTTCACCCTGAAGTGTTATCTTTAGTGACTGACACTTGGCTGGCAGAATTCCAAAGTGGTTTGGTCAGTAGTTCTATTCGTCTTTGACATAATATCCTCAACTAACCCCTCTACATCCCTTGCCCTCAAAACAGTGGCAACAATGACCCCATAGGAGAAGTAGCAGATTCTGTCTGGTACAGGTCTGGATGAGGCATTCAGTGTCCTGCCTCATCTATTTCTAGCCTGTCTTTCCTGCCCTTTCCTCCTTCTCCATACCCCCCAACATAATAGCCATATAACAAAACTCTTAGTTTTTCCTCTTTTCCCATCTTCCTTCCTCTTCTAGGCAAAGCTGGTCATTTGCTCCTCTAATCTCCCACAATAGTCCACACTTCTTATCATACAGTATTAAAAGAATTTATCAGTCCAGATGGCTTCACTAGTGATACTACCAAATATTTAATGGAGAATTGAAACTAATCCTTGACAAACTTTTCAAAAGAAAGAAAAAAAAGAAAGAGGAAACACTTTGCCAGCTCATCCTATGAGAATGTATTACCCTGATATCAAAACCAAAGACATCACAAGAAAACTACAGACCAATATCCCTTATGAATATAGAAAATAAAGCAAACTGAATCCAGTGCCATATAAAATAGATTATATGTCGTGATCAGTTGGAATATATCCCAGGAATATAAGGTTGGCTCAACATACAGAAATCAATGTAATACCATAGTAATAGAATAAAGGACAAGAACCATGTGGCCATCTCAATTAGCACAGAAAACACATGACAAGAGTCTAACACTCATGATAAAAACACTCATCAAACTAGGAATATAAGGGACTTTCTGAATTTGATAAAGAGTATCTTTAAAAAATCCACAGCTAACCCCATATTAATGGTAAAAGACTGGATGTTTTCTCCCTAAGATTAGGAACAAGCTAAGTATGTCTGCTCTCACCATTTCTAATTCACCACTATACTGGAAGTTCTAGCCCACAAAGTTAGGCAAGAAAATAAAAGGCAACCAGATGAAAAGGAAGATAGAAAAGGCAACCAGATGGAAAGGAAGATAGGAAGATATTATATATATAAAATCCTAAGGAATCCACACAAAAAAATTGAACTAGAAAACTATCAACAAGGTTGAAAGATACAAGATTGATGTGCAAAAATCAATTGTATTTCTATATACTACTAATGAACAATCTGGCAATGAAATATAAAAAAACCAATTCCATTCACAATTATATCACAATAAAACAATTAGGAATTAATTTAACAAAAGAAGTACAAGATTAGTATACTGAAAACTACAAAATATTGTTGGAAGAAATTAAAGAATACCTGAATAAATGTAAGACATCCCATGTTCAGGAATAAAAAATTTAGGAAGTATCTAAATTTGACATGGCATAGAAACAGTATAATTTTCTATGTATTAACATAAGTAATGGCCAAATTCTATTGATAAAAGAAAAGTGCAAGATCAGAGTGTCCATTAATAGAAGAATAGGTGAAGAAATTGTGGTATATATACACAATGGAATATTATTCAGCCATAAAGAAAAGAAATCCTGCCACTTACAACAACACAGATGGACCTGAGGGTATTATGCTAAATGAAATAAACTAGGTGGGGAAAGACAAATACTATATGACTTATTTGTGGAATCTAAAAACAAAGCAAAATGAATAAAATAGCAAAGGACTCATAAACACTGAGAAGTGACTGGTGGCTACCATGAGGAAGGGGCTGGGAAAGATGAGGAGGATAAAGGGGCACGAAGATCTCAATCATAATAGAAGTTGGTCACAGGTGTGGATGGAGAACATAGCCATTGGTTTTGTAACATCTTTCTATGTCGACAGTAACTGCACTAGTTGGGGTGAGGATTTAATAATATAACTGTTAAACCACTGGGTTGTATACTTGAGACCAGTATAATATTGTTTATCAACTATACTTCAATAAAAAAGAAAAAAAAAGGCAGATCACAAAAGGTATGTATGTATAATCTAATTTACATAGAAAAAAGACTGAGGATGTATCTGAAACTTACTAGTGTTTTTCTCTAGTGAGTGAAATTTGAAGACTTCTCTTTACTCAAAACATTTCCAATTGATTTTTTTTACACTGACTAAAATTTTTGGTAAAATCAATAAAAATATTTCTGTTTTGGGGAAAAATGGTCAGTTGGCTCAAAAGACTCTTAGAAGACTTTTTCAAAGTTTCAGAAACTGTACAATCCCCATATTACATTAAATTACTATTTTTTTTAAAGATGAGGACATGTTTTACAATTTTGCTTATTTTATGAGATTAAGGTGTTTTAAAATTTTTTTCTTGCTCTATTGAAGTATGATTGACAAAACTATGGTGTACAATGTGCTGTTTACACATAGGTACACATTTCGTGAAAGGATACAGCAGTCGAGGTAACCAGCATGTCAGTCCCCTCACGTGTTTACCATTGTGTGTATGTGTGTAGTGAGAACACTTGAGATCCAGTCTCTTAGCAAATTTCAAGTATATAGTACATTACTATTGACTATAGTCATGCTGTAAATTAGATCCTCAGAACTTACTCATCTTGTAACTGAACGTTCATACCCTTTGATCACTATGAAGCTAAAGCAATTTTGATTCTAAAAACTTGACAAGAATAACCAGGGGAAAAAAACGTACAGGTTAATCCTGTTTTTGAATGTGGGTGCAACCCAACTCTGCCAAGCAGACACGGTCAAGCCCTCCCCACCCTGTCTGAGCGGGCTGTGTCATCAGCGTCACAAACGGCAAAGGGCCACTGCACTTAATGAGTAAAAATAAATCGGGTCATTATCACGATGCACTCTAAGAAGGCAAGTAATAAAATTCACCATTTGAAAAACTTGAGCAGACGTCATTTTCTTTTTTTTTTAAATTAGTGTCTCTTGATTTTATTGTTCTTTTAAGAAGATAAAAGTGTATCTTTCACCGATAGAAGAAGGTTTCGAGGGTAACAGACCCGGCACCAAAGTTTAAATCTCTGTAAACAGATTTTAGTAGTGCTTGAAAACTTATGATTAGAAGGTCCCCCTGATGATTTCATCACAGCTGTGAATGAAGTCCAGTTCTCAGGGCCCACATTATCAAGGGCACTCCATCCCTAATGACCCTCAGGGTCCTGTAATGGAGGTCATCCTCAGGCCAGGACACATGGCTCAGAAGAACTAATACTTGGGATTGATCTGAAGAGGACACAGATTTTCCACTGACCTGGCCCACACAAAATTTACTCTGAAGCTCCAGCATGCCTCTAAAAGCCTCAGGGAGAGATTTAAAAGTCTCACAGGTACACTGTACCACAGTTTTTAAAAAAGGCATGTGCCTATTTTACTCTTCTCTCCTAGACATGAATTCAGCACACAGATCCTTCCTCTGCCGCAGAACACTGGAAACTTTATTCTGGAAGATAGCTCCAGCTGAGGGGGTGCTGCAGTGAGCCTGAGATGGGCTCTGATGCCGCTTTTAAGGCATTTCCAGGCATTAGAAACACCTCTCAGTACTAATCAGAACTCAGGTCAGCTCAACGTGTTGGGCACCTACACCTTAGAACCCTTTGCAGAGCCGGTTTGTCCCTATTGGTTTCAACACACCAAGGAGGCTGGGGATTATGAGACGGCATTTCACAGACAGAGCCAGCAGGGGCCACATGCAGCAGCCTCCTCAGTCATTGGCTAGTGTGACTGCTTACTCGTATTTCTCAAACTAACTTAAAAAATCAAAAATCCTATTTAAAGACAGGAAGGTAACAAATCCCACACAGACACCAGAGGCTTCTGCTTCCGTGGATTTCCTAAAGCAACATCT